TCCTCATTGGGCAAGAAAAAAAGTGTCAGAAAATTTTAATATCACATAAATTTCATACTCATGCCCTTAAAATGCAGAACACTGACTACTCACAAGTTTTTTAAAGGCGCGCGCTTAGCGTTGCCTACTAACTTTCGGCCAGGGTTCGAGTCGTGGTGTGACCAGTGACCAGTGTGACCAGTGACCAGTGTGACCAGTGACCAGTGTGACCAGTGACCAGTGTGACCAGTGACCAGTGACCAGTGTGACCAGTGACCAGTGACCAGTGACCAAACATCTGAAATTATAGAAAATTAATTTTTCCAATAACAATCGTTCCTGGGCAGGTAATCTGAAGCGGGTATACTATATATCAGCAACGTATAAAAAGTTTATCATAAAAATCCATCAGCTATTCGGAGGCGGCTTAGAATAAACTGTAGGTACCTACATTTCTTGGAAGAATAGCAAGACGCATATCACAAATTTAAAGAAGAGCTCAGCCGAAAAACGCTTCAGCATTTACAAAATGCTAATTGTATAAATGTTCATACTTATATATGTAAATCTGCAAGCAAAACTATTGGTTCTTGACAAGGTCATATGAAGAGCTGGTACCATAGAGCTGGTAAGTATTTTATATATCTAAGGTTGGAAACCAAGTAAGATTTTCTAAGTATCGCGCATATTATGAGATTTTTCTTTGGCTTTCCTTCCCGTGCGACAATCACTCTTTTTATACCTTTGATGTGCAGGAAATGGTATATTAACTTTGTTTTGGAGTAAGTAAATACGAGAAGGTGAAAAGACCGATCTGACCTAAATTAATTTAGCCATGCTCGTCGGTTCATCCGCAAACTAGTCTCTCAGTTTTTGAGAAATTTCAACCAAACTTTGTAAAAGATGCGATTTTATATCTAAAAAAACATTTGTCCGAACCGGCTACGTTGGATCATCATAACAAATAGCTTCCGTACAACCGATTTGTTCAGGTATGAGGTTTCGGACAAAAATATCTGTCGTAAAAATATTTCCAATTTTTCTAATATAAGAATTAATATTTTATACTTAAATGAATAAATTTGATACGGTCATGAAAGGTATAAAGACTTCGGCATGGCCGAATACATTTCTTCTTTCTTGTTATACTATACTAATGGAAAGGAAAGTATTCTCTCATGAATGCGTATGTAAGGTCACATGCCTTTTAAGACCTATCACTCTAGGTTTTACTTGAATTAAGTATTATAATTCTCCATTTTATGCTAATATATTATATCTGCGGAGGTTTAGTGGGAGGAACCAGCTGCAACGAAGGCGTCTTGTTTCCTAATATTTTCGAGTTATGTTCAAAAAATACCGAAAATTTTAAATTTCGCTGAAACTACAGCTTCAATGGCGTTGCCGTTAAAAGTTTATGGCTTTTCAGATTCCATTTTCGTCAGACATGGCGCTTTTCAAAAATAAAGAAGTCCTTAAAGAAGCGTCAAGAAAAGTCTTGCGGGGATTTATAGCAGCACTAGTACCAGTTCATAATCTACCAATAGAGTTTATTTTAAAGCCAAATACAGCCATGTAGACGAATAAATAAGTGTGGGTTAAATACAAATAAAAACCATTAAAATATCATGAAGTTGTTTGCTATGAAAATAAACCAAACATCGCAATTGACAGCTGTCAGCTGTGGGCAATAAGTGAAAAAAGAACTCAATAAAAAATTAAAAATAGATTTACTTACAAATTTTTCGTTGTGTAACTTAATGTCCATCACTGCATTGTCGTTCGTGCTTTTGTTTTTTCGTGAATTTGGGAAAATCTGTCCCTTAAAATATGTAACATCACGCATTAGGGTGTGCTAATATATTATATTCATATTTCCGGCTTTAAACTGCTACAAAGAACAAGTTTTTTCTTTCATTTTGAGACTGTACTTTTCTAATTGAACATTTGAATGATTATTCCTATAACCGCCATAATGCTCTTTCGACTAAGCAGTTTTGGTCATCGCAGTAAATGAAGTCTTTCATGGGCTGTATGACATCTGGTACTGTCTTGTTGAGACTCCATATTGGCCACATAAATATCATCCAAAAAAAATAGATTAACATATCGAGCACCAGTCGCACTCACTGCTTTACCAGCGTCATTTTAAGCCTCCAGTCCAAAATCCACACCAAACAGTGACACGTAGTGGATGCCTTTGGTTTTCGACATGTGGTCACTCAGAACTCCAAAAGCGGCGATTTTGGTAATTAACAAGGCCATCAAGGTGTAAATATGCTCCTCGCTTATGATGGTTTTGCTGGAAAAGTTAGAATCCATTTGTTGCTGCACAATAATCCATTCAACAAACTGTCTGCTGGGCATGGCCCTTGTTCTTCTTCAAATGAATTTTGTGAGCTAGGAGGCAAAGATATTTAGTGAGTATACGCTGTAGATAGTAAATTGATGGTTACAATTCTTGTTCACGACGCCGAGTTGAGATTTGTGGATTGTCACCGACACTCTTACGCAATGCTTCGAAAGTGTAATTTGAACGACTTGTTTTTGGACGACCAGTGCACTTTTCGTCTCCAACGGATCCTGTCTCTAGGAATTTTTCAATTAATCTCTTCACAATTAACGAAGCTAAATCACTATTATGACCATATTTTATATGAATAATGAAGCACCCTGTAGAGCAGATAGTTAAATTGGACCCGTTTGCACTTAATCAGAACCATATAAGAGTATATAAAAAAGTATATAGGTAAGTACCTTAAGGCTTATGAAATATAAAAAAAAATATCTTGTTCCATTGTTACTTAAGAAGTTTTGTGGGGTATCATGTTTGACATTGATGCTTTTGAAAATCTGTTGCAAATTCACTTATTATGTGTCCTATCTCCGGCCCAATCGAGTGCTTCTACAAAATACTTTTTTTTTTATTTTAAATTTTAATATCCCTTATTTATTTAGTGCGGTTTGTCACTTGATTGACAATTGAAGGCAGCTGCTCGCCTCCTCTCGCAAATCTTTGTTTACTGACTGAATTGCGTAAATGTGTCACTCTAAGCATGCAATACTGCTATGCAAAGGCCTAACTTTTACGTGAGCGTTACGAGATGCTTTTATGAGACAGACATTTATTTGCTTGTGCGAGACCAAAGTTCATATAAATAAAGGGTGTTTTTTGACAAGTGGTTTTCAAGAAAAAATAGACCTGTTTTTGAATTAGCTTAAGGTTAAAGTGTTGACTTTAAGTTTCAAAAATGATTTCGGGAAATTTACTGCCGCGGCGGCCTCAAACAAATTCCAGCCGAGAGGTCCAAACTTCGACCACTTTTAGCAGCATACGATTCCATACCAGCAATAACGCACCGAATATTCTCTTCCAAGTCGTCAATTGTCTCGGGCTTATCTGTGTAGACAAGCAACCTCACATTTCCCCAAAAAAAAATTATTCAACGTTGTTAAATTGCACAACCTTAGAGGCCACGTCACAAGCCGATGGCGCGAGATAAACCGCTCAACGAAAGCTTTCTTCAAAAACTGATTGTTTCGTTAGCTTTATGGCATGCAGTGCCGTCTTATTTTCAGACTGACCCTTTTCCCTAACAACGGAAGGCAAACATCTACAAACTAAAAGTGTGCGAAATGCTCTATAAGTAGGGAACTGTGCAAGGAGAGCGGATTGCATGTTAACCCAAAAAAAAAGAAAAGTTATATATACCAGGAAGTACAAGCGGCCTTCTTTTAAGCCACCCATACTAAATGGCTTGAAAATCACCGCCACTACCGAGGTCAAATAATTCGGTATAGACGTCGTTAGCAAACTTTACTGTAACCGGAACGCGGCACAAAGGTTGAGGAAACGGTGTCATAAAAAATATGGGGTCTAAGACCAAATATCGTGTACTGGATTTATGCAGCAATAGTTACAACAATCCTGTTCTACGGTGGTACCGTATGGTGTAGAGTACTCGAGAAAATTATTTTCAGAAGCAAGCCAGAGAGAGTTCAACTGTCGACTGTTATCCTGGTAACAGAACCATTGTCATTAACTCCCTCAAAAGCAGTGCTAGCTCTTCTTAACTTCCTTACATCTTTTCTCTGAACCTGCATACCGAAATTACAATTTAGTTTGAATGCTATTCAACCTTCGAATAACTCCAGAATATGCCACGCAAAAGTGCCGAGGAACAATATTTTTTCCACGAGAATCCCAAACAATGTAACAAATCTATATGAAAAGCGGCTTTAAAATGTACAAGCAATCCAAACAAACTCTCGACTTAATGCAACGCTGCTGTGGCCACGGTAACCGGACACAGTGACCTACAAGGCAAATCCATAGCAGACGATAGAAGGAACCCTTCTATCCACAATAAGATAAGCACACGATGCAGGTTTACCATTGCACTCGACTGTTGAAACTGAATGAGATAACATGGAAGACGTCCAGACAGGTGTATGGCCAAATTGGACACGAAAAGATCAAAACGTCTTACCCTCCTAAATAAGTTATCCGCTAGTACAACGACAAACTTAATAGCAGGCCACTGTTTGATGGGGCTTTATGGGAAAATGAAGGACTACCACTCTGGTGATTTTTGCCGTAGCTGCAGGTAGAAAGAAGAGGAAGCGTATGTTGTATATTACCTCTGACACTGACCAGCTTTGATATCTGCGCAACATAAGTTCCTCGGAAAAGACTTATTCGACTGTCTTACTGAGCTAACCCTAGCTAAAATTGGAAACTGCTTTGATTTTATAAGGCACACGAAATTGTTTTATCATTTGAGTAGATGAAGACGGGGGCCTGACGGCGGTATCACAATGGGCTTAAGCCGCATAAACCCAACTCAAATAAATTTTATTATTTTTATCGAGACCTAAATTTGGTTTAGCCCCGAATAGACCAATATTGAATTGCTGTATCAAGAAATCGGGATTGGAGTTCATTTATTTCCTCTTCTTTTGACATATTCTCTCTGAATACTCTTTTATGGCTCTATCTTTTAGTTAATAAAAAAAAAAACTAAGTAAATATACGTGTTTATTTTACACATACAACGTCGTTAGGTACAAATATTGTAAATAATAGTATAACCTGTTTGACAGGGATTATGTGGGTAGCATTACAGCCAATGTGCCCCATTTGTTATAAACGGATTGTCTTATTCTATCTTTTAAAAAGTCATCTGGATTGACGGGCTGATTATAGAAATAGAGTGTCTCAGCGGCACTAGGGCGCAACAGATCTTTGGTCACAAGCACCTTACGTTCCGGCAGCGGTTTAAATTTGAATGCCTTCTTGCGCAAAGGTTGCTCATAAGCAGGTCTCATATGAGCAGGTGGTGTATCATAAAGATGTGACTGGATCTCAGTGAGTGACTTTGTCATTGTGGGGTGATCGTGCAGTCGTCGTTCGGGTGGTAAAGATGCTTTCAATTTCTCCAATTGTCTAACTGTCAATTGTACGTGACGAGTTTCAAGCTCCGGAAAACGTTCTGTGCCACTACTGAATGCAATTTTCTTATTACTACGCAGCTGGCGGCGTGTTACATGTTTATACATACAATTGAAACGAATTTTTATCGGTTTCTTAGGCATACCAGTCGCATGCATCGATATGGGTTCCTTGCGGGGCGTATTGATCATTTTGATATACTTTGAATCGGGATAACCGACTATTTGCTTGGTTAGCTTATCAGCTTTAGGCTTTTCCTTGGCTAGTGTTTTATTCACATTTATCGGTTTACCTGTTGGCGTACGAAATAGACGACGAAAGCCACGACCAGCAACATGTGACCAGTCCGGTGAGCAACGGCGACGAATGCTGATTTTTCTGTATGGCAAACGACGGAACTTGAAACGTTTCTCACGATCCACCATCAATCGTAAGCCGGGTGTTAATATTTTTCGGCCACAACCGCAGAGTCTAGTGTAGCGAACTTCATAACGTCCCACAGCGGGTTCGAAGCTGGTGTGACGTCGTATCAAGGGCAAGCACTTGTCGGGCACAGTAGTGTGGCGCAAAAATAAATGCGGATTGGGACGTGGTTTAATAATGGGGGGTGATCTAACAAATAATCCAAAGTAAATTAAAACCTCATTATTATTTTTATCATTAGATATAATAATTTACATGTTGTAGGTGAATTCGTGCAATGGTGACGAATAATGTGTAGGCGCTGGATCTGAAATTCTCCGTTGAGCTGAGGAGAGACTATTTATCATGCAGCGTGCAGTAGCAGGTCTGTCTCTCGCATCTGCAAATTGAAAATTGTAGTTGCTCATACTGATCTTTAGGTAATGTTACAGCAGCTTACTTGTTAAGAAAACTCCTTTATGTTTATTCTTGAGGCCCAAAAGATTGTTTGCCTTAGCCGATATATCATAGAATTTCCATTGTCCTTGCTTGGGACGCCCTTTTTTCAACTGCACCGAGACGGGTTCAAACAATTTAATTACCGGCCTGGGTAGCTTTCGCCAATAGGAACCAAAGTGACCACGTCTCTTGCGAAAGGGTACCTCACTCGTGTTATAAACATTTGGTGGCATTTGCCAGGGCTTAGGATCAGCCAAATCCCGCGTAACTTTTCTTATATGCAAATCAGTGCAGGGTTTCAACGCTAGTGGTCTGACTCCAAGTAATTGCTTTAAATGCCTTTCATCTCTCGTTTCAACACTTTCCGCTGCAATGTATTTTTTAGTAATTTTATTTTAATTTAAATTACGAATTACATACTTTTATCACAGCGCCGAACATACAAATCTTTTTTATTCTCTATATACTTTGGTACCTTACGCCGATGGTCAAACCTAAAACGTGTTCCTAACGAAGAAATCATAAACATTAACAAATAAATTTTCAGTGAAGGAGATATTATGATGGAAATACTTACTTCCTGCTATGAAAAGTGGCAAATTTAGTGGCGTGGAGACTACGCGTACTCGAGCTTCACACATTTTGGTTGACATAGCGATTCTTTCCTTTTCGAATATGTGTATGTAATACTTCTTCAAATATGTATATATACGAGTATGTATGTATGTATATGATACGTTTGTAAAGAATTTGTAAAAAATATATTATATAAATATGTAAGTTACGTTCATCGGTTTTAAGAAAAAAGTTACGAGTGAACATTTACAAAGATATTGAATGAAAATTCGAAGGTTCCCTTTTTTAAATAAATATTTCAAAGATATATCATAGCTTTAATTGCTTTCAACCATAGTACGCTTAAGATATGTAGGATGATACAAAACACAGGGTAGTTTCACTCAAAATTTTTTCAAAGTTATTTGGATGATTTTCCTTTATGGTTCCAAGCTTTTGGAAAAATGAGTTAGAGGGGATGAGGGAAACCGAAAACCAAACCTACCGGAGACCTATAGTCTCCGCGATATTTACAGTTGAAATTGTAAAAAAATTGAATTTTTACCCTATTATTTTGTACATAAAGCCGTTACTGTGAGTTTTGAAGCTGCCACATATAAAAAAGAAATTCTAAAATAAAAAAAATAGAATGAATTTGTTAAACTTTATAGGTATATTTAACGACTTCAAAAATTTTTAAGAGGGGTCTTCCCTGTTTTTTTTTACTGATTTTCGCCACAGGTACTCAAGAATCATATCGGCGAAATTAGCCGGCTTCGCCTTGCACAGTATTTTAGGCGAAACTTCTTTGTAATTTGGAGGCCTTCGGCCGCGCTTTTGATTGTAACTCTAGGCCGGACCAACACCTGCGTCGCCTTGCATAATATTTTATGTCATTCCTCTCATGAAGTATAAAAAATGTGTTTTTAAATTATAATTATGTATATACAACCCTGCACAGTAGTGTAATTTTATTTTTATGCCGTATGGCAACACCCACTTACTATTATTGTCAGACATTTCCCTTCCAAATCATATCGAAATAAATTTCAAAAATGAATTATTTTACTGCTAACCAAATAAAATAAAAATACAACAATTTTTAGTAATCCCATGTGAACAGATCAAAGTTAGTATATTGCATCATGTATGTTAAATAAGCGCACGTGCTAAGTAAAAATTTGTGATGAAAGTGTAAATTTATTAATAACAAATTAATTATAATTTTTAAACATTTATGTGTTAATTATAATAAATAAACCTAGATTATATCGACAGCAACAACTTCTGTAAATTTCATTAGGATTGGATTGGCATAAGAGAAAGTTTTATAATTGCTATGGTCATAAGAGATTACCAGATTTACAGCCCTCATTTAAGTACGCCTAACGCTGTGCAAACAGTTGTACATTATATAAAAGAATGTTAATTTAACCACAGTATAAAAGTGATTTTCTTTTTAAAAAACTTTTTTAAAAATGTTATATGCACATATAATAGCCTATTTCCACCAAGCACTTAAATGCATTTAAGGTCTCTGTTAAGTAAATGAAATGTCAAACGTTTCCACCGAAAGTGAGTTAACTCAAACAGCTGATTTTTGTTTACATTTGCAGTTTACAAAATTTGCCACAACTATAGAAATCATGAATTCAAGAGACCGCATTCATTTTATTTGGCTATTTCTGCAATCTTAAGACTTGCAAGTGCAGATTATTTCTGCACGGACAAACGTTGCTGAAACGAATATGCTTTTATGCATGTTTCCATTTTCATATTTGTTTGTTTGTTCCCTCAAATTATTTATTTTGCGCAATCAGCTGATAGTTACCAGAGCCACGTATATTTTTATGTTGAGGGGATCGTTTGATATTTCACAATTGTTTTTTGTTTGTTTCTTATAGTTTTTTTTGAAGGCGGAGAAGCATTCTCTTCGCCAATTACCTAATATAGGCATTTATGTTAAAACTAATGCAAAAAAGGAATTTTTATACAAAAAATTTCACCATGCAAAATAAAAATCTCGCCCCTCATTAAATCCGAAAATACACGACTCTGGTAAGAAGTACACCGAGACTTCCGAAATGATTACATTATTAGTGACAGCATCGAATGTTAACATAACATTTTCTGTTAAATTACAACAACAAACACATGGGAATTACCGCATTTAAATGCGATGTTTAAATACATTTAAGCTAAAATGCATTTAAGGTCCGGTGGAAATAGGCTATAAGGCTGTTAGGACCCTATTCTGTGCACTTGACAAATTAACAAAATATTGATACTTTATCAAGATTTTTATCAAGCAAGAATTCATTTGTTATTCTGTGTTAATCTTGATAAAACATAAAGCTTCAGTTTGTTGTGCTTTTCCCCACAGGTGTGGTGAACAATGAGATGTAAATGTAAACAGAAATCAGCTGCTAATATTATTATAGTTATGTTATATGTTTTCTCATATTTTCCAATATTTCTTGTTATTTATTATTAAATGCCATTTGTTGGCAGCATGAGAAATCAAAATATGTGACATGTTTTGTATTACTATTATATTATATATTTATTAAAAGGGAAATTATTATTATTAAAAAGGAAAAATACAAAAACAAATATGTAATACAAGTAATTTAATAGCTATATGGTTGAATTATATCTGGACTTGGTTCTTTCACCTTTATGTATATGCTGTAAATAATCAACAGTTTTAATTGGAGAACTCAAGTCCCGGTCAGCCTGCTTTCGTAATTATACTATGTAATATAACGCAGGCTCTAACAAACATCTTCTTAGAATTCTGAGTTCTCTGCAAACAGAGCTGAAGTGTCATGTGTACAATGCAAATCTCTGTGCTTCAGCAAACATCTAGAGTGCGATTTTAAAACCCCAAACAATTTCTGGCAGAACCATGCAGTTTGTAATACTTTAGCTCTTTACTGGTATTTGGATCTCAAACAGGTGTTAGAAGCAACGGCTCTTGAGGCTCACCTTGACCGCCAATAAGCCATGATTCACTCGTAATTTTCCTCTTCGCCCAACAACAACAAAAAGAATACCTTTCATTTTGACAATTTGTTATTCCCAACTATGCACAAACAGTAAAAAGATGTTTTATTTGTAAAGAAAAAAACACTGTCAAGAACATTTGACATCTTGACAATTTATCAAGTAAAGAGCTTTTTATTTTTGACACAGCATAGATAAATCATGCTACAATGTCAATCTTTATAAATAAGCAAGATGGTGAATTTATCAAGTGCACCGAATAGGGGTGTAAGTCTCTTTTCTAAATTACTTTGGCTATCACGAATCCAGTAAGATGTGGATCCTTCATTTTGTGAAAAATGGAATCGAACTCCCCTTTCTATGTGCATACAAAACTCAACGGATTACTTCGACAAGAATCCCAAACAGGAGTGAATTGGTGAAAACAAACGACTTCGATCGGCAAGCCATACTCATCTTTACAGGCGACTCAAAGCTCCATGCAAAAGTGGGCTCTTAAATGAAAGGAATTATGATAGATTCCGACAGTCTCTATCGTGTAACAGTAGTCATCAAAACTGGTTATAAAATGTAGAAGCAATCTGAAAAAACTATCGAATAAATGCAACTCTGCGATAGTTTGGATGCCCGGACTCTCCAAGCAATGCACGGTAGCCGAACGAGTGACAGAAGTAGACCTTCTATCCAAAATAAAGCATGTGCAAGATGCGAGTTTACCTTCGTCATGGCGAAGAATATGCTAACACTAAATGACAAAATAAGATCACGTGAAACATGGCCAGAGAGTTATGGCTTCATGGGAAAATAGGCTTTCACTTTAATAATTTTTGCCACTGAAGAAGATTCTATAGAACACAAACAATTTTTGTCTGTCACGCTGAGCTAGCTTCAGCGAAAACTATTCATATCGTAGCTTTTATAATGTATACAAAATGGCTCGAACATTTGAGAAAGTGAAGATAAAAGCCTCACTATAGCGGTATCAAAATGGGCATATTGATTTCATTCTTTAATTTAAAAAAGTCACAAATCTTATTTGAAAATTTTCAGCTATACAATTAGAAATACAAAATAAAAGTAACAAAAAATCGAAACGTAAACAAACATGCGAAACACGAACAAACATTTTGACTATCTTTACACTGAAGCGAATGAATTAAATGAAAAAAGTTGAATTCGCCGCACTAGTAACTTCACCTCGTTAAATTCGCTTTGCATTAAATTCATTTTTAACTTTCTAAAAAAAAGTCGAAGGCTTCATATTTTTAAAAAATATTTCGAAGATAGCATGACACAAAAAACAAGGCAGTTTTACTCAAAATATTTTTTTCAAAAATATTAAAAGCCTGACGTAAAAAGATTGTTTGACTTTTGCTTTATTTTTGTGCTACCAGTTTGATTAAAAAATAATAATTTTCAACTTTCTAAAATTAAAAAAAGCTTATTACAAAAAATGTAAAACTTTTCCATGTAAAAAGTAAAGAAAAATAAAACGTACTCACAAAAAGCCCAAAGGCATTATATAATATTTTCTGAAATCTTGTAGAAATAGGATTATTTTCAGCCTGCTTATCATTTTTTTATGAAAACAAATGTATGAAATATTTTAAAAAGACAATGTCTTGAAGTTGAAATGAAATTACTTAAAACGTCAAAAATTTTTTTCTGTCAATTCAATATTGAGTGAGACTGACTTCCTTTTTTTATCATGAATCATAGTATAAGACCATCGCGGAGTTACTTATCATAGATAAATAATGAATCTCGGCGAGCAAACACCATAATTTGGGAAGTAAAATGTGTAAATAATTTAGAATGAATGAGTATTGGCCAATTTTCATATTTTACAGATTTTTAGGCATCTAAAATTAAATAATAATAATATAATATAAATTTAAATTGAAACAAAAAGTCGAAAATAAAAAATTTTCATAACAAAATTTATTTTAAGAAAACCAACTAAAAGAGCTTCCTATTATAAGCGATTTAAAAAAAAAACTATCGAATATTACTTAAAATTTTAACTGGGTGTGCACTCGTATACTAATTATTAGTATTTAAACTAGCCTCCCAAGTAGGAAAAATTATCGGCTATTTCCGGTGTGAGATCACAGCTGTGATCGCCTGATCTATTTCGTCCCTCGTTCGAATGACAATTCGTGGTTAAATTCCAGAGCGCAGAGTTGCATAAAAAATTTTGACAACCAACAAAGAAAATAGCAAAACAAAAAGAGAATTAAACTAATTTATAACCCCTATAATGATTTAAGCTATACATATTATATATCGATATATGATTCACTAACTCTGAGTCTTACTAATTTATCTCTTCTTTCTTCCAGGTATGTAAAGGTTTAATTAAATCCTTCAATTCCTTCATTATAATAGAGACATGTGAGTATTTGACTTGTTGTGAAGGTGAGTAATTCCATGAAACAATAATTTCGAGGTAGTTCCATTCTCTCTACGTCGTCGATTTCGTAGCTAACTGACATTGTACTTGCTTCGTCTTTTTCGTGCTATCCTTTTTTTTTTTTAAATTTAATCTACTTTTAAATATAAAATGAAAAATTTGTGGAGAATTTTAATATTCTTTGAATGTGGTTTCTAAAATAGTGGTTTACATTTTGTAGCCAATGATAGTGAATGAGACGGAGTACTGTAAGTTGTTTCGGTGAATGGAGGTTGACCCATCCAAATTTAAATCGATTTCAAGGAGCTGTGTGAATGCCAGATATCTTGTACGTTTGAATGCAAATAGTTTATGATTTTTTTAGAATGATGGGAAACACTTTTAAAATTATTCTTATCGCTAAACATAAAGAGATGTAGAAATCGAGCTTTCGAAAAAATCCTAAAGGTTCAATTCTTATTAATTTAATTTCTACGCATTCCTCTAGGCTTGAAATCGTTCAACGTAGGTTTTTTCGTTTTGCTCTTGCTCCGTTTCATTTCTCTGAAACTCTACCTCCATATACTTTTTGATGTATGCTAATAAATCCGAAAACTTTGTCTCTTCGATCTATCCAGCCATTACTACTTATTTATGACATCTCCACAGGCTTGGTGGTCTGTCCAGAGCTGTTTGAGCAAATCAGCTTCAATGTTCCTTATCCGTTCTATTTAGATGTAGCTAAAACCAGTTATCATAATTACGATCTTATTGTTAGAGCACTCTTTGAATTTAATAGAATATCTAGAAGCCTTGATCTTGATTTTGCATTCCCGAGATCTCGTTTTGGCTCCATCCTTAAAGCTTTTTATTCTTAGTATACTTATATAGTTTTAAGTTTTTAATTAATTTGTGCTTCAGATCTGTAAGATTTGTAAATCATTGTCTGAATACAGGAATTGAATTGAAAATAAAAGTCTAGCGTTGCTTTGTAAATATCCGCATGTCTCGAAAATTTACTAACGGATTAACTTAGAATTTTTCCAGATAGTTTTTATAGTTCCGTTAAAGGTTTTTAAGAAGTGGACCTTTGCATGACTCCTATTTATGGTTCGGCTTTCTTCAAAACCGGTACATAGGTGGCTTTTTACTTAAATTACCAATAAGACGACTCTGTTCTCCAGGAAGTGGAACAGTGAACGAATTATTTTTTTACTGGAATTCTTTTTTTACGGGAATGGATTGATCTATTTGAGAAATAATGTAAATAAAAATCAGCTGTTAGAAATAACTCACTTTTCATTCACTTAATAGAAGACTTAAATGCATTTAAGTGCTCAGTGGAGGTAGGCTCTCAGTGCCAAAAAGTATAAAATGGAAAATGGAATTTGTATATCATGAGTAAGGCTAGGATAATTTTTTTTTATATTATATCCCATTAACTTATAAAATCAGTACCGGCTTTATGAAGCGGAAACATCCTTATCGGTCAGAGATCAAATGGAGAGTGAACAAGATTCCTTCGATGTCTAAATTATAGGCAATAAAAGTATCTCGTCTGCAAGCAGTAGAAAAATACACCAACACACCTGTATTAAATAAAACCACAGGAATAGAACACCAGACATTTCGAAGAACTAACCCCTTAAAACTAGGTCTTGATATTTAAATTAAAAAAATTGTTTTAAAAATTACTGAAATTTCCTTTATTTTGCGCATAAATAATATCACCATTTACTACTATTCACAAGTATATATTTTTTATTAATGATACCTATGCTACTTCAACTTTGGGAATATTATCCTCTAACTTGACAGGCTCGCCCTCATGCATGCTATGCTTTGACTCAGACATAATACCTGTTTTCATAAAGTCTTCGGGACGGATCGGCTTATTAAAGAAGAATTCCAATTCCGGATCACTGGGCCGCAACTGCTTCTCCGTGATAAGCACCTTGGGTTCAGGCAGTGGCCTGAATTTGAAATCCCTTTTACGTAAATTCGGCTCATAAGCAGGCCTCATGTGAGCTGGCGTAGCGTAAAGTTTAGATTTAATTTGTCCGATAGACTTACGCATGACCGGATGGTCGCGAAGTTGGCGTTCGCGTGGTAAGGAGTTTTTCAAATCTTCCAATTTTCTTGCAGTCAATTGCACTGGTCGGATATCAAGTTCCGGAAAGCGATCACTACCGCTATTGAAGACAATCTTCTTATTAATACGCAGTTGACGGCGTACTTTGCGCTTAGTCATACAATTGAAATGAATTCCGACGGGCTTACTTGCTATACCCCCCGAATGTATCGATATGGGTTCTTTTTGTGGTGCATTAATCATATTTATATACTTAGAATCTGCATAGAGGGTTAATTGTTTGATGAGTTTATCTTGTTTATCTTTACTTTTCTCTTTCGACTTTTCTTTGGCTATCGTTTTACTTAGAGTTATCGGTTTGCCTGTCGGTGTACGAAACAGTCGACGAAAGCCGCGACCCTCGACATGCGACCAGTCGGGTGAGCAGTATTTATGCGTGTCAATTTTTTTATATGGCAAACGACGAAATTTAAAGCGTTTCTCACGCTCCACCATCAGCTGCAAGTCGGGTGCTAATATCTTGCCACCACAGCCACAGATCTTAGCGAAGCGCGTCTCATAACGTCCGACGGCGGGCCGGAAGCTTGTGTGCCGTGGTATTAAAGTCGACCCCTTGTCGGCCACTGAAGTGTGTGGCAGAAATAAATGTGGATTTGGTTTTGGCTCTAATGTAGGCGGTGATCTGTTGGTGATATGTGACCTGATATTAGAAGATAAACGTAGATACGCATCTAATATTACCGATACTTACACATTATACAGCAGCTCGTGCTGTTGCGGAAAATAAGTTGCTGCTGAGGGTTCTGAAGGACTACGGTAGACAGCCGACGGATTACTGATCATGCTGCGCGCAGTAGCACGCCTGTTTCGAGCATCTGAAAACATGGAGCTTAAAAAAGATAACTGACCAAAGCAAACTGCATTTCCTCACTCGTCAAGAATACTCCCTTGTGCTTGTTTGCCGGAGCAAAAAGCAATTCAACGTTATCTGGTTTTTCATAGAATTGCCAGTGTTCTTTCTTCAAAGCTTGTGATCGTACTGACTCTGGCGTTTCTTGTTCCATAAATTTCCCTACGGCCTCACGAGTCTTGGGCCAGTAAGCACCGAGGTAGCCACGACGTTCAGCAAACGGTACTTTTGTTGTGTTGTATAAATTTGGTGGTAAGTACCAAGGTTTGTCTTCCTTTAGAATTCGTGTTAGCTTCGTTATATGTAAATCGGAGCAAGCTTCCGTTGGCGTTGGTTTAACAGCAACTGAATTCCTTAAATCCAGTACAGCGCGAGTTTTAACATCTTTTTCTGTAAAATTTGGACTTCTCAATTATACGGGTATAAACCTTTTCAAGCCGATTACAAATATTTACCGTTATTGCAGCGATTTGAAAAAAACTGTTTCTTCTTGGTTATATAATTCGACACCTTCCTCATTTGGTCATCTTTAAAACGCGTTCCTTTGGGAAAATTTTCAAAAATTTTATTATTTAACAGCTTAAAAGTTAAAAGTGATGTGCATTGCGCTGAAAAAACTTACTTCCCGTTAAGAAAAGTGGCAAATTGAGAGACGTGGGAGTTGCGCGCACGCGAGTTTCACATTTCGAATACGACATTATCCCTAGATTTTTCAAATGTTTCACTGTCACGAAATTAATTATATTTCCTATGCTTGTAAAGTTATGAAAAAAATATCTACGTATTCACACACTATTATCCCGCTATAATTAATCCCTTTCTGAAAGAAAAAAATGAAAACATTTCAAAGTTTTTTGAGGGAAAACTCGTACCATTTTACATTTTACAATTTTTATTAGAAAATTCACAGTGAGGGGTTGAAAGGATTTATAATGTTAGCTGATTATATAAATTCAGTTCTTCGTCGATTGATCATTTGCATGCCTTTTTAAAACTTTGTAATTAGACCCTGTAATTTTCAAGGACAGTTTGGACTTTCGCGAATACCCGCAAATAGAGATCTCGTTTACTAAACTTAGAATTAAGTTTTCTAATATATTTTTTTATGAAACTATTTCCGCTAAAGCGATAATGGAATTCATACAAGCACTGTTTGTGTGAACATATACCGCTAGTTACACAATTATATGCCCTTAAATTATATGTCAGCTGACAGTCGGACACCTAACAATGTATCTCGAGGGTAGCCCAGCTTTCAAGTCAAAATATAAAATATTTGCTGATGGCGCTCAATAATTGTGCCCAGGAAATCCATCAATTTATGACTTTTAAGATTTTGGTGTAAAATAAACTAAAAAATTATACAAATTATACAATAAAATAAATTCAATTAACATAAAATAAATTAAAATAAAATAAAATAAAATAAAATAAAATAAAATAAAATAAAATAAAATAAAATAAAATAAAATAAAATAAAATAAAATAAAATAAAATAAAATTAAAATAAAATAAATAAAATAAAATAAAGTAAAATAAAATAAAATAAAATAAAATAAAATGAAATAAAATGAAATAAAATAAAATAAAATAAAATAAAATAAAATAAAATAATATAAAATAAAATAAAATTAAATAAATTTAAATAAAATAAAATAAAATTAAAATAAAATAAATAAAATAAAATAAAGTAAAATAAAATAAATAATAAATAAATAAAAAATAAAATGAAAATAAATTTAGTATAATTAAATTAAGTTAAGTTAAATTAAATTGAATTAAACAAACTAAAATGATACAAAACGAAATACATTAAAATAAAATCAAACAAAACAAAAAGAAATGGAATACAATAAAATAAAATAAATTTAAATTAAGCTAACATAAAGCTATTTTATATAAACAAAAGTAAAATAAAAATTTTTTTTTTATTTCAATAATAGGAACAATAATTACAATTTCTTCTAATTCTTGATTAGCTTGATTAGGTTTAGAAATTAATTTATTATCTTTTATCCCCCTAATAAGTGATAATAATTTAATATCTACAGAAGCCTCAGTATTTCTTAACTCAAGCATTAGCGTCTGCTGTTCTATTGTTTGTCATTATCATAATATATTTAAATAATTTTCGTATTACAGAAAATAATTCTATTTTTAATAACTTAATTATTTCATCATCACTTTTATTAAAAAGAGGTGCCGCACCTTTTTATTTTTGATTTCCTAATGTTATAGAAGGATTGTCATGAATAAATGCTTTAATTTTAATAGCTTGACAAAAATTGCCCCTTTAGTATTAATTTCTTATATTTATCAAAATAATTTCATTATTTTAGCTATTATTTTTTCAACAATCGACTAAAAAGAATTACATAAAATCGAATGTATTAATAAATAAATTAATTAAAATAATTTATTTATATTTAATACAACAAATATAAATAAAATAGAAAACAAAATGAAATTAATTAAATTAAAATAAATTAAACCAAAAACAAAATAAAATTATATAACATCAAATGGAATTAAATAAACTTTAAACAATTTGAGTAAAATCAAATAATGTAAAATTAAATTAAAAATAATATAAGAAAATGTAATATGAACGGAAATATATAAGGCAATATATAACAAAACAAAATAAAATGTAATAACATATAGTCAATTAAAATAAGTTAAAATATGTAGATGAAGTAAAATACAAAAATAATATTGATTAATTAATATAAATTTATTTGAGTGAAATTATTCAATTGAATATTCACCTAGTTATTTACTGTTAGTACTAAGTTAATGTATTAAGTTGTTTCTAAAATTGCCATATCAAAAAGGCAGATTAATTTAATTTCAATAAACGGTAAAAATTAAAGAAAAATATCATTAAAATAATTTTCGCTAACTGTAACAACGAAACCATTACAGTTAATCACTAAAAATATTTGCATAATTGATTTATTAGCAAATGGTGTTATTACAAAATTTCATAATACACTTTACTGAATTTATTGCTTACCACAATTAAGTTATTGAATTTCGTTACCGTATATGTACAAATATACTCATACGCCCCAGGAAATACATCATGGCTTACCACCACATATGCGTTCGGTTGTATACAATTTTACTTACAAATTATGCTCACGAGATTATTTATTATGCTTTTACATTATTCATAAGCATCTTGCGCGTTATCTGAAGTACCTTGGTATGGTTACATACATACGAGTACTTATCATTTATATCTAGTACATATGTACAAAACTCAATGGAATAGATATGAACTACGCGCTTATTAGTGCATGAGAAACCATCAAGGCGACGTGCTCGAGTATGAATATCAAATCCAAGTGAAATGTAAATGACAAACCACACACACACATATAGCATATGCAGATACTTTGGTATGTAAACATATCTTGTGTAGCCAAACAAGTTTCGCTGTATTTCAAGGCTCCGAATTTCAAATAGATATGCATATGCTTGTATGTGTGTCCACGTGCATAAAGTTTGACTCAAAGAAGCCTCTCACCAATTTTCAGTTTAAAAGAGAAACACTTCTTGCAGGAATACATATAGCGAAACTGATTGCGACCTCATTTTAGTGCTCCACCTTACATATTTATACCCACATGCATGCATATGCATATATATACATATACTATGTAGGTATGTACAAATGTGCGCTCAAGCAGCTCATCCATGTAAGAAACGTAATGAGCGTAATAATTCTCAAGTGGTTTTCAAAAATAAAACCACAAAAAAGCCGAAACTTTTACATCTTCGTTGCACGGACTGGCAGTGATGACAGGTCTACAGAGATTATGGGCCACTAAAGTTTATAATAAAAATAGAAACTTCTAACATCACCAGCATGTCCTCTTAATTTTCATTCGGAAGTTCTGTGTGCGCCGGGTAAAATAAATTTGTTAACCTAACGGTGATATAAAAATAATCGAGCTAAGCAAAAAAATCCACTCATCTGATTTCAAAGAAAATTTCTTTGTAGTAAATATTAGAGAAATTTTTGTAGTTTTAATGTCAAAATTTAATAGAATAAAAACATTGGAGTAAAATCACGACTACAGGCACCTGGTGTATTTTTTGTTCGTAATAAAATACCCAAAAATTTAATTTCTACCCCCGTCGAACTCTTTTGAGATTTTTTTAAAATGCAGATTTTCGAGCGCTCCCCCGAAACGAACGATTTTATCGGATAAAAAGCTCGCTCTATTGTTATCTAAGAGATGGCGTTATTGTCCATAATACTAGTGCTGCATCATGTCATACTATACGCCACGTGTAAACGTCTTTATTAGAGTTAAAAGTTTGTCCTTGACAGTTTTTCGATTGATTGACTCAGTACATTGTGAACGCTCGTCAAAGATGGACACCAGCAAAGAGAAAATTAGCTATTTTACAATTTTCTTCGATGAAGGCGAAAAAGCAGCCAAAGCGGCTTAAAAATTTTATTTAGTTAATGGGCACGATACTGTAAACGAACGTGTAGCACAAAAGTGGTTCGCTAGATTCCGTTCCGGTAATTTCGATGTCAAAGATGCACCAGGTATTGCTGTGTATTTGGTGATATTGGCAAGGAATCATCTGCTATGAGCTGCTCTCCTATGGTCAAATGCTCAATTCGGCCCTCTACTGCCAACAAATGGACCGCTTGAAGGCATCACTCATCCAGAAGTGGCCATCTTTGATCAACAGAGGCCAAATTGTGTTCCATCAGGACAACGCCAGGCCACACACGTCTTTGGTGACATGCCAGAAGCTCCAGTATCTCAGATGGCAGATTCTAATGAACCCACCTTATAATCCGGACCTGGCACCAAGTGATTACCATCTTTTCCTGTCCATGGCAAACGCGCTTAATCAAGAGAGGCCTGTAAAAATTGGTTTTCGGAGTTTTTTGCCAATAGAGATGGATGAAGTTGGCATCTCGTTGGCAACAAGTTTAGGTACAAATCGGCGCATATTTGACTTAAATTGGACCAATGTTAATTAATATTTATCATTTATCTTAAATAATTTCCATGAATAAACTGCAAATGCTTAAAGAACATAGTAGTAGCTGAGATAGTGCTCCATCGTCTCCTCCTCGTCTATGTCACTGCAGCCCACCCTCATGGGACTCATGCCATTAAAAAGTGCCCGGTAATTACGCTGGCGGTTATGCTCGTAAAGGATCTGTTTAGAAGGAGTAGACCCTTTGATCTTTTTGTATCGATCAATGGCCAAATGCTTAGTCACATTGCACGTGGTATCCTCCTGCCGTATGCCATTGACCTTACTGGTGAAAGCCGATCTTAACATAGGAAAGCAGAGTGAATTTACTGCTAGCTCATCTGCTTTGCAATCTCCTCTGATGTCTCCATGTCCAGGGATCCAAACCACGGTCATTTCCCATACTGCCGAAAGCTTGTTTAAGATTGTCCTACATCTTTGAGGTGGTGTGATTACAATGAAGAGAGTTAATGGCAACTTGACTGTCAGAATATATTATGAAAGTAACCATGAAGCGACTTCCATTATTACCGTCAGTTCATAAATTCAGTTGAAAGACGCTGCTGTGGTCTCTTGCCCAGGCCTAGTTTTGAACCTTCAATGAAGATAGATACAGATCTCTTAGCCAGAACTGGTACTTGTTCTCCCACATTCGTCTCTGGGAATGCGATGAGAAAGGGTTGCCGTAGCGGGAAACTGAAGAGGTATAGTCCACCTATTCCGAAAATTATGTAGAATTCAGTGTTCTGGAGTGCCATGTGTGTTTCTTCCAAGGCTGAATCGCATTAACACTTGCGGCATTGCAGCTTGTCTGTAATTTCCCACAAAGGTTTCAAGTATTTTCATAAGGG